AGTGTGTGTGAGTGAATGAGTGTGTGTGTGAGTGTGTGTGAGTGAATTAGTGTATGAGTGTGTGTGAGTGAATGAGTGTGTGTATGAGCATGTATGTGTGCATGTGTGTGTGTGTGAGTGAATGAGTGTGTATATGAGTGTGTGTGAGTGAATGAGTGTGTGTATGAGCGTGTGTGTGTATGTGCATAAGTATGTGGGTTGTAACTTGATTTGGTTCTTGAGTGTGAACTTTGTAGATGACAACATCATGTCTCAGTGTCAAGAGAGTGAAAGAGCCTGACAGACAACAGTGCACTCAGGAAAGGCTGCTCATGACTCTGGCCTGGCCAGGTCGCTCTGCTGGAAAGTGGTCATGACTCCCACCTGCCAGGCTGCTGAGAACCAACTGTGACTGCTTCATGGGGTAGCTGCAGTTAAACTCAGCACCAGCAGGGTGCCAGCTGGATTTCACTGCTGTGAGCAGACACCATGACCAAGTCATCTCTTATAAGGACAACATTTAACTGGGGCTGGCTTACAGGTTCAGAGATTCAGTCCATTATCATCAAGGCAGGAGCTTGGCAGCATCCAGGCAGACATGGGACTGGAGGAGCTGAGAGTTCCACCTCTTGTTCCGAAGGCAGACAGGAAAAGACTGGCTTCCACGCAGCTAGAACGAAGGTATTAAAGTCCATGCCCACAGTGACACATCTACTCCAACAAGGCCACACCTCCTAACAGTGCCACTCCCTGGGCCAAGCATATACAAACCATCACACTGGGCAAGGGGAAAAAAGGTAAGTCCTGGGCATGTCTGTCCTTAGAAAGAACACTGAGCTCTGCTTGCCTGTCTGGTGCCCAGCTGTGTTTTTTGTTTTTTTTTTTTTTAGCTTATATATAGTCTAGTGCACGACGGCTGAGCTCATACATGGTCTAGTGCATGAGAGCAAGTGTTCAAGTGCCCTTGTGGTTTGAATGTGAAGGGGCCATAATTGGCTCAGGTATGTGACCACTTGGTGCCTTTTCGGGAGGTTCTGGAACCGTTAAGAGTTGGAGTCTTGCTAATGGAAGTCTGTCACTGGGGCCAGAGGTGGGCCTTGAAGTTTTAATGACCCTTGCCAGCTTCCTGTCTGCTCTCTACTTCCTGTCAGCAGAGATGATGTGAGAATGGCCTCATTCTCCCACCAGCACGCCTTCCCCTGTGTCCTTGAACTGTGAGCCAGAACAAATGCTTCTTCCCTCAAGCTGCTGCTTGTCATGTAGTAGGTCACAGCCTCAGTGGGTAAGGGTGACTGCTAAGCTTAATGACCTGAGTTCAATCCCTGGGACCCACAAGGTGGAAGGAGAAATGGACTCCTACAAGTTGTCTATAGATAGTACCAGATGCTTGCACTCACAGATAAGCACTAAGGAACCCAGGAAGGTTAAACATGCAGGCTCATCTCTTCAAAGGGAAAAGATGTTTACCTGCCTTCCCTCTGGAATTCTGGGAATGGATGTAGCTTATCACCTGATGATGTTTTGCTATCTGCAGGGCCAGGCTTCACCTAAATCCCCCAGACTATTATGTCTGTTTATCCCAAACTTTTCCCCACTAAATATTGTTTTTTTTTGTTCAAGTTTCTCAGTCCATATAAACATCCTTATGGAGATGTCACGTGTACTTTACAACAGCCTAAGTAACTTTTATAGAGCCAGGCCAACCACAGCTCCCTGTCTCTATGGAAGAGGCCATATGTACTTTGTAGAGTTTCAATGTAAACATGTCCTTAGCTTTTTTTTTTTTTTTTACACAGGACTGAGTTAACTGTCATTGGGAAATGTTTCTCCAAAATTGTGCTGCGCTTAAATACAGCTAAAATAAACCATCAGGTTTAGAAGTTCGAACCCGTGATGGCTCACTAAGTGGAGTTGAACTGAGTTTCAGTCTTGCGTCTCCACTAGAGCTGACAGGAACCCCCATGCTTGTCTCTGACCTCTAAATACACATTGTGGTACATGTCCACTCACTACCCCCGTCCCCCCAGTGAGTATATAAAAGTTTTTAAAAATAAAAAAAAAAGTAACTTTGGGTAAGTATTAGAAGGAAACCCAGAGAAAGCCAGCCTAAGGGAAAGAAATTTGCACACATGTGTCAGTCAAACTCTGAAGCATCAGCTTCAGGCATATAAATACTTGATTCTAGTGTCTCTGACCACTTCTCTGATGGGTCTGAGCAAGCTACCTTCTTCTGGGGGGCCTCTGGGTAAGTCTGGGCTTCCATTTCTCCCTCTGTGCAGTCAGCAGGTGACCTGCCTGGCTTGGCTTGGATCTGCATTCTGCAGGAGTGCCTGCAGCTAGGAGGAGTCTGAGCTCAGCCCTGTCTCCTCACAGCCTTGGTCACAGCCCTGCCACAGGCACCAGAGAGGCAGAGAGGAAAAGCATCTCCCTGCCAAGAGCAATGGAGCAAGGACACACTTGGCTGCCTCGGGAATCCGGGGCAGACCCTCCCTGAAACACATAGATGCCCACATGTGGGGAATAATGCCAATCGTGGCCTTAGGGTGACCAAAGTGTGGCCTGGGGTTCCCTCTGGTGACTGTAGCAAGACTCAGTCCATGGGTAAATGAGTGACAAGAAGGTCAGTGTCCCTCAGGGCCACAACGGGGGTATACCAAGGGGAGGAGGCAGCAGAGGGAAAGGGACGGGTAGCCAGTGGGTGACTCCGGAAGGCTTTGGGCTACTAGGCAGTCTTACTCACCCTAGTTTCTGGCATTAGGGTGTTATTGGCCTGGAGAGTGAGTTGACAGAGAAGGTGGCTCTGGGCTCTCGGTGGGTTTGCTCTGTATAAAAGTCATGTTGCCAGTAGTCTCCCCAGGATTAGCAGGCCCAGGCTGTCAAAGCTTTGTCTGGCCCAGATAGTGACAACTGTGGCTACCATGATCTTTCTCTCTCCAGGGTGTTCTTCCTGAATGTGCCGTTGGATTCCATCCTGGAGCGGCTGACACTGAGAAGGATAGACCCTGTCACAGGAGAAAGGTTGGTCAGGGCTTCCTGGTAGCTGGTCATGGAGAGCTGCTGATGGCCAGGTCTCCCAAGAGCTGCCTCTTCATCTAGGCGCTCAGTGTTTTGTGGACCTGCTTTTGAGTAGTGCTGGCTACTACAGACAGAGGCAGGAAATAGGCTTGTTCAGTGAGTTCCTCTGGGTGTGTCTTCTGTGTCCCTCTGAAGAGGGAAGAGGGAAGGGATGTACCAGGCCCAGCAGCAACATACTGGTGAAGTATCTGTCACTATATTCCTGGCCCCCAGCTGGACTTCCACTTCAGAAATGGCTGTACCAGATGGGTAGGCTTTAAATACTGGACAAATTGTGTTTGGAAGGATGAAAAAAAAGTACAGACAAAGATGCTGGGAAGATGGCTAATGCTTGCCTTGCAAGCATGAGGACCTGAGTTCAATCACCAAGACATACATGTGTACACACATACCACCACACATATACACACATGCATATACCCATACACACATACCCCTACACATACACAAACACATACATCACATGTACACACATATACATACACACATCCATACATACACAAACACATACATCACATGTACACACACATACATATACATACACATATCCATACATACACAAACTCATACTTACACACACATACATACATATACACTATCCACACACACTAACTCACATACTCATACACACATACACACATATACATACATATGTATATACCATATACTCACACACACACAAACTCACACAACCATACACACACACATACACACAAAAAAAAAAAATAAGCCCTTTGTGATAGTATATGCCTTTAGTCCCAGCACTTGGGAGGCAGAGGTAGGTGGATCTCTTCTGAGGCTAGTCTGGTTTATACAGGGAGTTCCAGGACAGCCAGGGCTACACAGAGGAAGTCCTGTGTGGTGGCTGTTCTTGGTTGGCAACTTGTCCACATCTGGAATTAACTAAAACTCAAGAGGCTGAGTACACCTGTGATGGATTTTCTTCTTTGTTTCTTCCTTTCTGTCTTTCTCTTTCCTTTTTCCTTTTTCTTTTTTCTTTTTCTTTTCCTTCCTTCCTTCCTTCCTTCCTTTCTTTCTTTTTTTTTTTTTTGAGACAGGGTTTCTTTGTGTAACAGCTTGGCTGTTACACTTGCTTTGGTAGACCAGGTTGGCCTCAAACTCACAAGAGATCTGCTCAGTGTTGTATCTGCTGTTGGCAGATCTAGCAGTCAGCAGCAGCTATAACCAGGTCAACCTTGGTGAGTGGAAGTCCATGGGGTTGAGTACATACTTAACCCCTGTCTCTGCCACCATGGCCACTTTGTTCACGTGCCCAGTGGACAATGACAGGGATGGCTGGGGAAAGATGCTGACTGTCCACAGAACAGGTCATTTAATCCACTTGATAACTGAACTCCTCCTCAGTTGAAGTCACCTGGTGGTGAACATTTACACGGGGCACAAATATCTTCACATCCTTCACCATTCACAGATATCTGTCCACACACTTCTTCCCCAGATGTCCTTCTCACCAGTTTTCCAATCATGCTCTTCCCAAGTCCCTGACCATCCAGCCAATCCACTGTCTACAGCCCATGAGTCAGTGAACAATCACATATCTGGCCATTTCTCCTTCCAAACAAAATGTATGACCATGTATACTGCCTGAAGTTCTACCCTCTATGTAGATTTTCCTTTCACAGGTGTCTTTCAGTGTTGTCCCAGAAAGGGGCTGTAATGCTGTGCTTCTGAATGGAGCCTTCATAGTGTGAGAAACCATCAGTAAAGCAGGTCCCAGTCTCCTTCCTCACCCCAAAAGGCATGCACGCCAGCAGCAGATGGCATTGTAATGGGAGTAGAAAGTACAGGCATCTGGGCAATGTTTTCATGTCACAAGCTTGTGCCCCCAGGACTTGCTCAGGCCCAGTCATGTGTATACCACTTCCATTTGGTGATGGATTGCTGCTGTGCACATCCCACGCTATCTTGGTGGGTCAGATATCACCTAGCTCGTGGTGGGCAGCTCAGGTCACATGGTAACGTGGTAGCCCATTGACAAATGTCCTTTCACTAAGGCCTGATAGCAGGCCAAGAGCTGCCTCTTAAAGGGAATAGTTGTCTGTAGACAATGGTAGAGACTTGCTCCAAAATCCCAAAGGTATCTTCTGTGACTCACCTATAGGGGCCTGCCAAAGGCTCTAAACATCATCCCTGTCTGCCACTGACACCTCAAGTACCATCAAGTCTGCAGGATCACAAAGTGTCAGCCACTGACACCTCAAGTACCATTAAGTCTGCAGGATCACAAGGTCCAAGTGGGAGAGCAGCCTGCACAGCGCTCTGAAGCTGTTGAAGGACATTTTCCTGTTCTAGACCCCAGTCCTGGTATCTCTAGTGGTTCTCTAGAGGAACAGAAGTGGTAGAATGAATCTATGTAGAATTTATTAGAGTGGCTTACAGGCTGTGGGCCAGCTAGCCCCATCAGTTCTCAACCTGTGGGTCGCGACCCCTTGGGGAGTACATATCAGATACCCTGCATATCAGATAGTTATATTATAATTCATAACAAAATTACAGTTATGGAGTAGCAATGAAATGATTTTAACAGCTGAGGATCACCACAATATGGGGAACTGTATTAAAGAGTCGAAGCATGAGGAATGTTGAGAACCGCTGATCCAACAATACCTGTCTACCAATGGAAGATTCAAGAGCTGGTGGAATCCCAGAGTAGTAGGCTCTAATGCCAGGAAAGGAATGGACTTGCCAGTGAGGGCAAGGGCAAGGAGGCACAGAGAGCAAGCTCCCTTTTTCCATGTCCTTATAGACGGCCTGCAGAAAAGTGTAGAATTTTAGTTCCAGAGAGTCCAACTCCCTCTTTTGGGCTTGAGCAGCTGCATACAAAACAGGGGTGGGGGTGGGGCACTGCAAAAGTAGGAGAAGGGAAGAATGAAGGAACCAGGCCTTTTGTGTGTTGTTTGCTGTTTTCAGGTGCGGTCTCAGTACACTGCCCTGCCAAGCCAGGACCGTGCAGAGATCTGCCTGCCCGGGCATCTGAGATCAAAGGGGGATCTCCCTCTTACTGTGATTTTACATGCTACCCCACTGACCTCTGCCCTTTCCCTGACCTGGGATCGCAGCTTTTTGTCCCAGAAGCCTGAGGCCAGTCCAGGGTGTGTCCCCAGCTGGTGCACAGCTGGCATTTGTGTCTGGTAGTCACGGTGACAGGGCAAGGGCACTCTAGCATAGTCAACAGAGGACTGAGGGCCATTGTCATCTGCTTCTTTCATAGGTTCCATCTCATGTACAAGCCCCCTCCCACCATAGAGGTCCAGGCCCGCCTCCTGCAGAACCCCAAGGATTCAGAGGAGTACATCAAGCTCCAAACAGACCTGTTCTACAGGAACTCTGGGGACCTGGAGCAGTTCTACGATCGGGCCATCATTGTCAACGGAGACCAGGACCCATACACAGTTTTTGAGTATATAGAGAGTGGGATCATTAATCCTCTGCCCAGGAAAGTCACCTGACATGCGAGAAGTCAGGGGCAAGCCCTACAGACACTCAAATCCCCTGCCCTCAACCGCCCTCAGACCCCACCCAGCCAATAAAGATGTCACAACCTCAGGGAGCCTTCTTGTGGGGTCTGAGAACACAGGACAGAAGAGGTGCATGGCTGGGGCAGAGTGGAATGCCAGAGGCTAGGTCTTCTTCTAGAGTCAGATGAGGATAAGGCCCATCTCAAGGGCACCCCATCCCACTGTGGGTAACTGGGTGAGTGCTGTCTTAGGCTTTCTATTACTATGAAGAGATACCATGACCAAGACAACTCTTATAAAGGAAAACATTTCATTGGGGCTGGCTTACGGGTTCAGAGGTTCAGTCCATTGTCATCATGGTGAGAAGCATGCAAGCAGACATGGTGCTGGAGAAGGAGCTGAGAGTTCTATCTTAATCCTTAGGTAGAAGGGGACTGTTTCACACTGGGCATAGCTTGAGCATATATAACCTCAAAGCCTGCCTCCATAGTGACACACTTCCTTCAACAAAGCCACACCTCCTAATAGTGCCACTCCTTATGGCCAAACGTTCAAACATGAGTCTGTGGGGGCCAAACCTATTTAAACCACCATACGTGCATTGGTCATGTTCTGTACAGGACCAGAACCAATAGCATGGTTATATATTATAGAGGACACTTAGCGATTGACTTACATGATACTAGCTAGGCCAACAATGGCCGTCTGCAGTTTGGAGGGTCTGAGACCCTCACAGCTGCTTAGTCCACTGGGCCAGATACTCCAGATGTCTCAACCTGGAGGCATGGAGGATTCCTGGAGAGCCACTGGTCTTCAGTCCACACTGGAAGGTTGGAAAAAACTAGGTTCTGATGTCAGTAGAAGATGGTAGAAGCAGCAGCAATAAAGTAGATGCACCCACTAGCATTAAATGAAGGTAGGCAGGCAAAGAAGGTCTAGTTTCCTCCCACATAAAAGCTGCTTCCCACTTGGTGGTGGTGGTGGTGGACTTCCCTCCTCAGCTAATCTGCTCAGAAAATACCCTTTCAGAGAGACATGCCTCTTAGATGATCCCAGGTCGGTCAGGTTGACAAACAAGTTTAACCACCACAGGGTTAAACTCATTCCTCTTGGCCTATCTGTCCCTCACTACCAGAGGTAGAGTGCTAACTGCATCTGTCTCACAGTAACTTGCAGGAGCCAGTGGGGTGATAGGCAGAGGCCGCAGCCCAGTGCAGACACATACTATAGCACCAAGCTGGGTGTAATGACACCCGTCTGTAATCCCAGCACCTGGGAGATGCAATGTTGAGAGGCCGATAACAGCCTCTAGTTACATGGGTTCAGGGTCATTCTGTACCACAGAAGACCCTGTCTCAAGAAGAAAAGAAACCTGGCACCCAGTGGAACTCTCTGGAATGAGGAACATTGCTGCTATCTGCACTGGCCATGATGGCAGCCTCTAGTCACAGGAGGCTCCTGAGGGATTTGCAGTATGGTCGTGCACATCTGAAGAGGCACATCTTAAGTTTCATTTAATTTTGACACATTTGAATTTAAACTGCCTCTCAGCTGGCAGCCACCCTGTAAGGGGTGTGTGTGTGTGTGTATTTCTGTGTCTGTATCTGTGTGTGTCTGTGTGTGTATCTCTGTGTGTGTGTGTCTGTGTGTCTGTGAGTGTATGTGTGTGAGTGTGTCTGTGTGTATCTGTATGTATCTGTATCTCTTTATGTGTATTTATATGTGTTTGTATCTTTGTGTGTCTATGTGAGTGTCTCTGTGTATCTGTGTGTCTGTTTGTGTATGTGTGTGTCTGTATCCCTGTGTGTTTGTGTGTCTGTGTATCTGTGTGTATCTGTATCTCTGTGAGTGTGTCTGTGCGAGTGTGTGTATCTGTGTGTGTTTATATCTCTGTGTGTCTGTGTGTGTCTGTATCTCTGTGTGAGTGTGTCTGTATGCATCTGTGTGTGTGTGTGTGTGTGTGTGTGTGTGTGTGTGTGTGTAGTGGTGGCAGCAGTGGAGGTAGTATTGCAGGGTTGTAGAGTAACAAGTCATTCCCTGTCCTCTGTACAGCCTACAGGCCCTGCAGGGGAGCGGGAACAGAGAGACCTGGGTTGGATGGTGTGACTGGAATTCCTTTTATGCCTCCTTTCATCATCTTTCTCTACCTTCGGGATGGTCCCTAGTCAGGCCACGATGTGCAGATGCCTAAGGTCAACTGTCCCAAGGCTGAGCCTACATCCTTGGGACCAGGCTGATCTGATTCTAGCACATAGGGCTCTGGGAAGGTCAGAGCCCCTAGGACTCAGAGCTCACAGTCCACCTAGCAGAACTTGCCCCCTGGGCCTGCCTCAGCTAGGTGTCACAGGTCCAGGAGGTGCTTCCTATGGGCCTTGCCTCCCGGCTCTGCTGAGTGTGCCTCAGCTCCCAATTCCTTAGGCTGTCAGACACTGGGTACCACCTCCCAGATCCCCACCAGGGTCTCTCTACTAAGGTCCCTGCAGTGCCCACCTTGAAGCTTATTTGGCAGTGCACAACCATTTTAGCACATTTCTAACTTGCCAGGGCTCCCTGCAGAGTTTTGGAAAAGAATATTCTCAGTGTTATACAAAGAAACACATTAATAAAGCAAAATTAACCTGGTTGGGCAAGCACTTCCTTTCTGCAAAAAGTGTGTGCCACAACCTAAACCACTGGCCAAGATGATCTCTGTCTCTTTTGTATGAGTATTGTGTCTACACAGTGAGACCTAGATCTACCAAGGCTTTAGAGTAAGGCTTAGGGCTGCTCTCGGTGTCGTGAAACACCATGACCAAAGCCGTTCACTAGGGCTGTCTTACAGTGCAGAGGCTTAGTCCATTATTAGCATTGGCTTGAAACATGGTGGCACACAGGCACATGTGCTGGAGAGGTAACTGAGAGTTCTACATCTGGATCTGCAGGCAGCAGGAAGAGACACTGGGCCTGGCTTAGGCTTCTCAAACCTTAAAGCCTGCCCCAGTGACACACTTTCTCCAACAAGGCCATGCCTCCTACAGTGCTGTTCCCTATGAGCCTATGGGAGCCATTTTCATTGAAATCACCACAAAGACCCTGTCTCAAAAAAATTAAGATTTTAATACCGTTGCAAGGAAGGGGAGATTTATGAACATTTGTCATTGGCAGGCTAGTTGCCTTTGATGAAACAAATTCTTGCATAGGTAAAGAGGCCCTGCCACTTGCCCTTTCCTCTTTGATCAGAGGAGATAGCAGACAGGAAGAGGGCCCACACTGGCTTAGCAAGGCTTAGCAAGGCTTTATTTCCCACAGTTTATTGTTCCCTCCTCTGCACATCATTCTGGGCTCCAGAGAATGTGATCTCACACAACCATGCTGTGGGACTAGACACTTGCAGTGAACAGATCCATCCACGATCTGTGCATGGCGTGTCATCTGTGGGCAGCATGATGAATCGCTCACATCTGTAACCCTCCTTCCCTCTGTCAACCCTCCCACTTCAGTTGTGTGCACTCTGTGCCCAGCTTATTAAACACACTATGCTGCCTATGGGGGAGGGATTACCCTCTCCTAGAGCACGGCCTTGCCCAGACCAGTGGCCTCGTTTCCCATGCCATCAAGTGGCTTTGGACAAGTGAGTTAGGTACTTTTCTTATTGCTGTGACAAAAAGTGCCCGATAAAAGTGTCCAGAGAGATGGCTTGGCAGTTGAGAGTTGTTGCTACTCTTCTAGAGGACCCAAGTTCAGTTCCCAGTACCTACATGGCAATTCATAACTACTCAAAACTTCAGATGTAGAGGGTCAGATGCCCTCTTCTATTCTCTGTGGGTACAGATGACACAGACACAGACGCAGACGCAGACGCAGACGCAGACATACACTTAACCAAAACAACTTAAGGGAGGAAGGGTTTATCTTGCCTCACAGTTTGGGGTGGGTGTGTGTAGCAGTGGGTGTGTGTAGCAGTGGGTCACGATGCATCCACTGTCTGGAAGCAGAGAAATGAACGATGATACTTGGCTTGCTTCCTACTTTGTATTCAGTCCAGGGTCACCAAGCCTATGGAGTGGCACCATTCATGTTCATAGAAAAGGTCCTCTGAAAACCCCCTCATAGACACACCTACAGGTGTGCTTCCATGGTTGACTTTAAACCTCATCAAGTTGATGTTAAAATTAGCCATCAAGCTGGGCATGGTGGCGCCCACCTTTAATCCTGGGCAGAGGCAGGTGGATCTTTGTGTGTTTGAGGCCAGCCTTGTCTACATAGTGAGCTTCAGGACAGCCAGAGCTACTTAGTGATACCTTGTCTCAAAAGAGAAGAAGGGGGAGGGGAGGAGGAGGACAGGAGAAAAAAGAAGAGAAGGAGCAGGAGAAGAGGAAGGGAAGGAGGAGAAGGAGGAGGAGGAGGAGGAGGAGGAGGAGAAGGAGGAGGAGGAGGAGGAGGAGAAGGAAAAGGAGAAGGGGGAGGAGGAGGAGGCTTGTTGCCCTGGCAGATGCAGGCTTGCTTCCAGCTCCCACGTCAGGCAGCTCACAGCTGCTTGTTATTCTGGCTCCAGAAGGTTTGATGTCCTTTTTCCAGCCTTCATGGGCAAGACACTTGCACGCACAAACCCACACACACATACATACACAAATTTTAAAAGCTTTTTTAGATTTTTATCTGTGTGTGTACACACACTGTGTGTGTACAGTTACAGGCAGTTGTGGATCACCTATCATGGGTGCTGGTAACCAAACTCGGGGTCCTCTAGAACTCTGGGACACTTGTAAATCACTGCTCCAGCACTGTGCTTTATTTTTTAAATCTTAAAAAAAAATTAGCCACCAAAACAAGTGGTTTAGCCTGTGTCGTCCTAAGATGAGGGTAAATAGCTATTGCCTTCTAGGATCTTGTGAGAAGAAAAGTTAACACACACAGAGGCAGTGAATAGGTTGAGCACACAGAACAGCCTTCTCATTTCCAAAGGACCAGGAAGTTCCTGTTTCATCCCTAGAGAAGGGCACCGGAGCTCTGAGAAGTTAGCCAGCCTGCCCTTTAGTCACCCGTGGCAGTAGGGGAGACAGGACCAAAGTCTTCTGACAATGACTTCTGGACTACATGGGACGGTGGAACCTGGCGTTACCTGCTTTCCTTTTAAAGCTATCCAAGGTGGCTGAGGCACAGGCATCCTGGCTTTCAGAGAGTCTCCTGCATCACCCCTCACCCAGGGTGGGACCATCTGTAGGACCCCTGGTCATTGGGGGAGCTCCCCTGGAATAATCAGCCACCCAGACACAGAAGTTCTCCAAGAGTTGGGCATCACAGGGCCGCGCTGAGGTGAAACCTGTTCATATTGGTATGGAAGGTAGCTTTGGAGTGTATGCTTGTTCCCCTCTTCAGTGAGACCTGGTCCTTGGTTGTGGCTGCAGCGAGACCAGGACCACACCTGCCTTGCCTGTCCAATCAGCTTCTCTCTTGTCTCAGACGGAGTGAAAACCAGGGGTAGCTGGCTACACTTGCTGCATCTTGCTGTCTCAGACGGAAAAGGACCTGGGGTCTGCCTGGTACAGCAGAGCAGAGAAACTTTGCTTGGAGAAAATAGGGGAGCAGGCTTCTGCCTGTCTTGTTCCCTTATCAAGTGCTTGTGTGCTTAGATATTGTGAGACAAGAACTCATATAGTCCAGATAGGTCTTGAACTCCCGACGTAGACAAGAATGCTGAATTTCTGGTCCTCGTGCCTGTACCTCCCCACTGAGTGCTGGGATTACAGGTATGAACCACCACATCTGGTTTACCCAGCTTTGGAGGTGAAACTCAGGGCTTTCTGCATTCGAGGCAAGCACTCTGCCTACTGAACCACTTCTCCTGGCCAGCAAATGATGACTGCGTCTCAGCCATGTCTCCAGGACTAGGTAGATTATGGAGGGAAAAGGGCAAAGTTTCTGTGCACATGACTGGTGTTTTCTTTTCTTTTTTTTTTAAATATCTTTTTTTAATTTATTTATTATATGTAAGTACACTGTAGCTGTCTTCAGACACCCCACAACAGGGTATCAGATCTCATTACAGATGGTTGTGAGCCACCATGTGGTTGCTGGGATTTGAACTCATGACCTCTGGAAGAGCAGTCAGTGCTCTTAACCACTGAGCCATCTCACCAGCCCCAAACAGTGGTTAGATGCCACGAAGTAGGTGGCAATGCCTTAACCATATGTGTGTTGTTAGGCCCAAGGGCCTCTTCCATCCTTGTCAAGGGGAGTGCTAACCTTCTCTCCTTTCATACAACACTGCCTTTGCAAAAGTGAGAGAGGGAAACAATCTGGTTTCTGACGCCCCTCCCCCCAACCATCCCACCTAGTGGTCCTATTAAATACTTGCATCTGTCACCATGCTTTCTTCTTATCTAGGGCTGTCAGTCAAGGTTCCTGAGCACCGTGGTAGGGTTAAGGCTAGTCTAGGGAGTTCCCAGGGGACCGGAAAGGAAGCAATTTAAATGCAGCCACACTCATGGAAGACCCCACAGAAGACAAAGGCAGCTCAGATGTTGAGTTTTAAGGTGCATAGAGAAGTTCGGAGTCATTAAAAAAAAAGTCATATAGTTGACCACAGAACAAACTTCCATTTTTTAAAAAACATAATTATAGATATCTTTTATTATTGAAATATGTTCCTTGTTTTAAGAAAATAAAGTATAAATACTGTGGCTGAACACACAGGAAGAAAATGCTCATCCTCCTGGCCATCGCTGTGGTGACCATAGATAAAGTTCCGAAATTTCAGTTGCAGGGGAGGGAGGGTGGGTGGGTGAGTGGGTGGGTGAAGGATGACTAGTGTGACGGACAGGTGGGTGAAAGATGATGAATGGGTAACAGGATAAATCGATGGATAGTAAGATACATGGCAAACGGGATGGAGGAATACAGTGATAGGATTCTATTGCAAACACTTGTTTTTAAAACTTCCTTGCATGGGTGCATGTACATGTTCGTGTTTGTGCAGATGGACCAGAGGCAGAAATCTTCAGTTTCTGTCTTCCATATTCAGGCAGTTTCCTGTTGAATCTAGGGCTCACCGACTTCCACAAGTCTAGCTTGCCAGTTAGCTTCCCTGTGTTGAGATTACAGGCAGGGCATGGCTAACTGGCATTTCTAGGTGATGGGCTTCTTCACACTTGGGTGGCAAGCACTCTGTGCTAAGCCATCTCCCCAGCCCTGTGCCATCTGTCTACTTTCAAGGTCTTTCCCTCTATGCCATGAGAATTTTTACTTCAGATGCTAAGTTAACGGCTATATATCCCGATTTTCCCCACAGCTAGAGAACATGGTTCTAGACAATAAGATATTTCAGGAAAGTCACTGTTTCCTCATTACAATGATAGGGTGTTGGCAGTGCTGATCATCCAAGGCAGGAGGTGAGAGCCCAGCCTACCTGGAGCCCTAGGCTATGTGGAGGAGGGGGTTAGTGTCTGAGCCAGAGCAGCTTTGGGTGAAAAAAAGCAGTACAGGATGTGGAAAAGCAACTGCTAAAGTGCTTCCTTCCTCCCAGTAAGGGAAGAGCCAGAGAGCCAGGGCTGAATCTGCTACTCAGGTGTCTTCTGTGATACCCATTTCATAGATGGGAAGACTGACAATTTCATAACCAGAGCCCTGATCCTGCTGCAGCTGCTGCTGTATTTCCTTCACTGATACCAGAACTGGATTCTTCAGGCTTCTCATGTAGACTGAAGATCATCATCTCTCTAGGCCTTCAATGTCAAAATGGGACTGCTGGGGCATTCAGCCTTGTGGAATAATCAACTACTGGGTTCTTGCCCTTTCAGAGTGTGAGTCAGCCATTGTTGGATTATTCTGGCCATATCAAACATCTGGCTGTATGTATGTATGCATGTGTATGTAATCTGTATTTATATATGTGTGTATGTTTTATTAGGTTGACTTACATGTATTCATGATATTTGTTCTGTCTTGAAAGCCCTGATAGTTGTGCAGAGATAGCTCAGCTGGTAAAGAGCTTTCCTTGTAAATCCAAGGGCCTGGGTTTTATCCCCAGAATCTATCTTGGAAAAAGCAAGGTGCTGTGGCCTATGCCTGTAATCCCAGCACTGAAGGCAGATACCTGGGGCTCAATGGCTAGCCAGACAACCCTGCTTTGCCAGCTCCAGGCTGGGAGATGCAGATAATGTGTTTTGAAGGCCCTGGTCTCCTCGTTATGGTTAAAATCAAACAATACTTTCATGGTTCTGTTCATCTGTTCCTCATCCCTAAAGATACCAGGGTCTACAGGGTCAGGGTCAAACTTTGCAGCACTAAACCTCCTGAGAACCACTTTCTCATTTGAGGGCCCCCACCTGATCTGTGCTGTTCCAGAACTGTATCAGAAGGGATACAAGGGAATCCCATCCTTGACCCATCGTTACTGACCACTTACTGTCTGTCAGTCCTGGGCTGCAGTACAGCCACCACTAGCCTCTCCCTGACCCCCATGTTCATCATCCCCTGCCTTTTGCTGTGGGTCTCTGCTCTCTGGAGGAGCATTGCCTGCATCTCAGGTCTCTCTTCTAATCTGCCCCTCTCTGGCAAAGGAGCATTTGGGTCTCTATCTCAACACTGCAATGAGGCAGCACTGGTGTCTGTCACTGTGGCTGCCTTAGGATCTGAACCTTGGGCTAGCCACATCTCTATGCACTCCTTCCTCAACTTTCAAACCATGTGGCTCTCTTGTGACTATCCAGTCTGTTCCCCGACCCCTCCTGACCTGGGTGTTGGCAGTGCTAGGAATGGAACCTGTGGCCTTATGCTTGCTGGGCAAGTAACAATGAGCTATATTCCTGTCCCTGAGGCTAAAAGGAACTGAATTTCTGACCTGGGGATGGAGAAACAAGGGGAATCTCTGAAGAGACGTCAGGTACTCTCTAGGGTCTGGAAAGCCTAAAAAGACACAACAGTGCTGTGTCAACCCTGCCTTCTGTCTTAGTAGCTCTGTCCATGCAGCTGACCATGAGGGGCAGTGAAGGAGGGGGAGCCCCACTTACCAGCTCACCAGCATCATGAACCAGTAATGGCCCTAGAGGGGCATACATGCTAATGGCACTGTGTACACACGCCATGGTAAACAAATGGTTGGCTTGTCTAGGTTGGCAGTTATTCCAAGAAACACTTGTTATTACTCTTATTTTTAGCTAAAATCTTGAAAATTAAAATTCATTAGATGGTAAGAATAAAAAAAATCCCCTTTGCATAACCATAAAATTTTCTCTTTATTTAAAAACAATAAGGTGTAGTAAACATACAAAGCCAAGCACAGACTTTACACAGGCATCAGGTAAACAGAGGTACAACCACTAAGCACAGCAGACATTTGTTTAAACAAGTGTGATACTCACATCCATGTTGTATCAAAACACAAATGCGAAACAAAGCCTTGGAGAAGACACAGTTCATGGGACACTTGTGTGTGATTTTATATTAGACCCTTACAGGGACAATGAGAACACCAGTACTCACCCTAGCCAAATGCAGACCTGTTCTGAAAATGTCACAACATCACTGCCTCTGATGCTGCCCAATCTGAGACACGTTTTCTCCACACAGCTCAGGCTGGCCTTCAACTTGATCCTCCTGCCTCAGACTCCTAAGTGCTTAGACCATGCCTCACCCAATCTATTTTAGAGTATTTTCTTTATGAAAAACAACAAAATTTCATGGTAGTGATGTAAACAGTAACCCCACCCAAGTGCTGAGGACAGAACTTGAGGCCTCGTGAATGCTAGGCAAGTGTTCTCTCTATCCACCGAGCTACAGCCTCAGCCTTGAGATAAAGAACTCCTAATCTTAAAAATCAAGAGGAGACTTAGAACTCTGTGATGGGTTCTGGTCAACCAAGGACCACGTTTTTGCTTGTGAGCCTACAGTGTAATTCAGATGTGTACCGCTTCCTTCTCTACTTCACTTAATCACAAGGAAGGAGTACTTGGGCCCTGTCGGTGAACCACACCATCTGGCTCTAAATAAATTCATGACCAGAACCCTGACTGCATCAGGGTGTCTCCCACAGATATAAACATGACTTTGAAGAAAGTGGTCCAAGAACATTGCCTCCTGCCTGTTCTGTGGAAAGAGCTGCTAGCTCTGCTGCAGCTAGAAGCAAGACTACCATGAGAGCAGCTTAGTTCCATCTAAGGACATTTTACCTACTGAGCACTTAGGCTGAGCAGCAGACTCAAAGCAGATTTAGCTTCAAGAGCAGACAAGAAATAACCACGCTAGTCTGAGGAACATTCTAAAGTGTGACACTTTAGGAGATACTGGTCCTTCTCCAAAATTAAAGCCAGACTATCCACTTTCTTGCACCCTGTGGGGTGACACTTCAAGGGGAAGGGGAAGGCTGTTGAGATCTTGCAGTCTATCACATCACGAGTGACTGCCAAAGCCTAGCTGTGGCTCCTGAAGTCCAAGATGTGCTGTGGTGCAAGAGCTCTGTGTATCTGACTGACTGTTGACGGTCCATACTGACTTGGATGTACTCCATTCAGCTTAGCATCAACAGCCAACACTGTGGTGGCAAGGAGCTGGCAGTCAGCCCTGAGCTCTGACCACAAGATGCTCACTGGTCTCCCCAACCCCCACCCCGCAAGACCCACATGGCTTAGTCTTTAGAAATTTTTATCACTATGTATTTTCTTGGCCCTGAATGCATCCTAATGTTGGGAGCCACCTCTTGGGGAAGGTGAAGTAGGAGGGGGATGACCAGAAGCTGAGTCTGGTCTATTTCAGGAACTGCAGCTGCTTAGCAAACCCAGGTCATTTAGCCACTACCAGGAATGCAGGGCTCCCAGACTAGGGCTGTGTTCCACCATGTGCACCTTATTTGATACCAATATAACCAATCAAATGACTTAATAATTATTGACCCTTAAAACTTTCCCAGTATTAGAGGCAGAGACAGGCAGATATTTGAGTTCAATGGCAGACTGCTCTGCAAGAGTTCCAGGGCAGTCGGAACTATAGCATAGTGAGACCCCACCTCAAAAAAAAAACAGAACAAAACAAACAGAAAAGAAAACTTTCCCAATCCAATTCACTTGTTAAGTTTATTGCTAGGTTCAGCCTACATGCTTCCCACACAGAGGGACAAGCAGAACAATGTTATACCCTACCATAAACTTTGCTGGTACTCATGTCTAGCAGATCTGGTAGGAGGTAGAGATAGCTAGCTTCAAGTCTGGGGGTGAACATATCAGGAAGTCAGTACCCATCCTACCTAGAGCAACAGAAACAACGCCAGGCATGGAACCTGGTACACAGCAGTGCTGCAGATTGTAAGGTCTCTGCGGAGTCTCTGCTACAGTCTTCTAAATGCGGGGCAGTGATGCGGGGCTACTCTTCCTCCCTCGGCTCAAACAGCTACTACAGCTGCAACTGAAAGCTACTGAATGCCTCCCCAAGCAGCACAGGTAAGTTCAAACTGGAAGGGGCACAGAGTAAGACTCTGCTGTCACATCACTTTTCCAAGGTCTCTCCATCAACCCTCCCTCCGTGCTCCTATATGCTGACCTTTGGAGAGGGATTCAGAAGTTCACCATGCAGGAGGCTGCCATCAACCCCAAATTCTCTTGTTCACCCAGCTCTGAAGATTAACAATCAATGTGGTGTGTGGGGGAGAGGGACATCCCTCCCGGCTGGACTTCAGAGTCCTAAGAATGCTGCAGGGCCAAGCCTCTTGCTGTACATTTGTGTTCCAGCTGCCACGTTTCTTCCTGTATACAAGTACAGATCCTAGAAATTCTTTTGTTACTTCTAGTTGTTAAAATTTCACAGAACTGCACAACTGCTTTAAACAATCAGGTTTTAAGTTCCCCCAAACTCCCTAGGGAGATTGATTCCAAAGAGCAAGAGAAAGGAAGCTTGGCATGCATGGTAGCCATCTCCACTCCTGTCATCTTCCTCTGAGAAGCCATGCAGAGTCTGAACTGGGTCACTCAGGGCTCTTTCCTTGCTGCCCCTCAGTCTGGATAGATGCTGTTCTTGAAACAACCCCATGTCAGGACATTAAAGACTCCAACAAACAATCCATTAAGCACACGGCACAGGACAACAATCTCAATAGGACATTTCAGAGCAGCTTCTGGAAGTGCCTCTTAGGGTCTGTGCCCAGTGTGAGGGAAGTGTGGCAGGGTGGCATGTGCTCTGCCTCTCTCTGTGGTACCTACCCATGTACTAAAACATTATTTCTGAAGTCAGGACCGAATGTCTTTTGCTAAGGATATAAAATCAAATGGGAAAGTCTGCTAAGATAATGCCAATGATAAAAAAGGATCACCAGGAGTGAAGCACTTCACGCTTCGTACTTCTCCCTCACTTCCCAATCGCACAGTTTCAGAACATGTGCACTATAGTCCAGCCCATTAGCACCAGTCCCAGGACACTTACTCTGACCTGACTACGACTCCAGAATGCATCAGGTCTGGGTTAAGAGCTAGCAATCAATTGATCGTGTTTGTCTCCTCTTTAAGCCCACAGAAAAATACCTATATCCCAAAGATTAAGGGTCTTTGGCAAGTGAGGGACTGCTCAGGTTTTCCACTGAGCTCCACAGGCTTGTAGCCCAGAGCTTGAGGACCTCCGGCTCCACGTTTCTCCAGAAGTCTCTAGACCAGGCTTCCCACAAAGACTCAGTGAGATGTCTGGAGAAGTCAATGTTAGAAATACTGAAGCTTCAATTTAATACTAAAAAAAGGCAATACTTTCCCTCTATGTACAAATATCCAGGTTACCACATGGGCATGAAGTAGGGCTGTGAAGAGGGCAGGAGTACTTAATCTCCTGTTACATATTAGAGCTGGGCAGGAAATCTGATGACAATTATTAACTTCTAATAGTCACCTGATCATTTGATACATTAAGATGATTTTATTCTTGGCTTCAAAAATATAGTTTTAGGAAAACATTTTCCATACAAATGAAAACAAGTCAATGGACAAATGAGTCTGCTGAGCAAACAGCAGCCACACGCAGCTAGCTTTATACACTTTAAGATGTATTGGTACATGCAGTGTCATGTACCAACTAATTTCAGCCCTCTGGAGCTACTGGCAGTCCCAGACCAAAGCAAGGACGGAAACCTAACTCACAAGAAGGTCCTTAGATTCTCTAGAAGAGACCATTATGTTTCTAGAAGCAGAAGGCTTCTGCTCAAACTGCTTTAGGCAAGACACTTGGAAAACAAGTGGTCCTCACCAGGTGAGGGGCTAGGGATGGCTAATGCTCCCTTTTAAATGACTCAAACTCTGAATTTCATCATTTAAAAAATATCCTTCAGCCCTTGAAGATGGAGTTCGTGCTGGTGAAGTGAGCTCCAGGGTAACCCCCTCCTTCCAGTGGAAGAGTGTCTCTCTGCAGCGCAGCGCCAGGCAGCACACCTGCTCTTCAGGCTTCGGGCACTCTCTATAGCCAACTTCATATCCTCCATCCTCCTCACTGAACTCAGAAGACAGGAGAATCACAGAAAGGACAAGGACTCTGCAGCAACCTCTTAATCCAGTCAGGATCTGCAAAGGAAAGTCAGCGGGACCAAGCATCAGCCTCAGACAGGACAAAGTACAGATGACAGACGGAGAACTGAGGGCAGCTAAAAACAGAAACAGAATCCATGCTGCCAACATGTAACCTCGAGAGAATTAGCTAACATCAGTACAGACTGAGTTTTAAGTAGAATGCTCTTGCTTTCTGTTTACTCAGTTGATTCTACACGCATGTCTCACTGGCCTGTTGGGTTGGAGTGTGGCTTAGTGAAGCTCACACCAACTGGCGTTCTTGGGACGATTAGACGCTTGATCTCTTACTCACATCTAAGATCTTACTTCTAGCTAGTGCTCTCAGAAACAGCAATGTGCTAGAGAGCACACAGACCAGCCAGGAAGTAGCCCTCAGTGGCTTCTAGAAGAGCCATACGTGCACCAGGTGCAGCAGCAATGCTGCTTCTGAATACAGTATCGCTTGCAGAGCTGCTTCCCATACGCAGCCCCTACATGTACCCTTGAGTCAGCCCTCACACTGGACTGAAACCCCATCCCACTGTCAGTTGACAAACAACATATGCAACAGGTAGCACGCATTAACTGGTTCTGGCTTTACAGTAACTGCAAAGAGCACACTCATTCTGTTCTGAACCAAAAGCAGGACACTAGGTGGTGTCAAGCCTGATTCCACCCCTACTCCAAGGCTAGGCCAGCACTCACCTTCTGGAACAGGGTGCCTGGCGATGCTGTCATGGAGCAAACATCGTCTGTATATCAAGCTCTGGCAGGACTGGTAGGTTAGAAAGCACCTGAAAGAAGACAAGAATCCAGTCAGAGGATGCTCCCTGGGTCCACAGTTATCAGGGCAATGCTTCCTTCTCTGTGGCCAAATCTATACCAGCATTCTCTGAAGAGACGCAGAACCTCTCTACAGAATGTTCTAGGATCACTGGGAAACAGTTCCATCTGGTCCTCCCTAGCTGCATTCTTGGTATTATAAACAACACTCACATACGATATGCAAAGCCACTCTCCTTACTTTTCAAGATAAGGTATACAGAGCATCTTTAAGAGCCCTTAGGTCAGCTGTTCTCAACCTGTAGTTTGAGACCCCGGGAAGGTGCTGAATAGTTCTTTCACAGAGTTACCTAAGACTGTTGGAAAACAGATATTTATACTACAATTCATAACAGTAGCAAAATTAGTTATGCAGTAGCAATGAGAACACTGTTATGGCTGGGGAGGGTCACCTCAACATGAGGGGCTGTGCTAAAGGGTCGCAGCGTCAGGAAGGCTGAGGAGCGCTGCCGTAGGCACTGGGGTGGGGAGAGCTCTGAAGGTAAGAGTGCTCGCCTGCTCGCTCGTTCGTTCTGTAAGCCTGAGGATCCAAGTCCAGACTCCAGCACCAACGGCACAAGCCAGTTGTGTTTCCACTTGCATCTATAGCCCAGTACAGAGCAGGGCAGAGATAGGAGAATCACTGGGCTTATTGCTGGGCAACCTAGCAGAAAAGTGTGAGGTCTAGTCTAGAAAGAGGCTCTGCATCAAAGGAATAAAAATGGAGTAGAGGACGCTCGCTCTACTCCAGACTCTACACACAAAAGTGAACATATACCTCAGGAACATAGACCACACACAACGTACACCTCCATCCCACATCCCTTCTCTTCAGGTATTGAAGATGAAATTCATGATGCAAAAGAACAGAAACTAACAAACTAATAAATGCCCAAAGGGGTTGGGGTTCAATTCTGTCTAAGGAGCATTTATTGAACACCAGTCAGAGGAGAGGGAGCATGAAGGGTATGAGATGGAGAGTGTAACTGGGCTCTGGAGACGATGTCCCAGTCTGTCAAGCAGGCTGGCTGCTCAACAGATGCTACTTTGATGACAAGCCTAAAACTCACTCAGTATTAGATTGCTAACTGTTCTCTCCCTTCAAGGAAAACAGTTTGAACAAACTAAAAACAAATGTGTCAATAAGAGAAGCAATCGAGAGCACCAGAGACTGAAAGCTCCAGCCCCACCTCCGTTAAGAACTGACTCCTGGCTGGGCAGTGGTGGCCACACCTTTAGTCTCAGAACATGGGAGCAGAGGCAGGCACATCTCTGAGGCTGAGGCCAGCATGGTCTACAGAGTGAGTTCTAGGACAGCCAGAGCTACACAGAGAAACTGTGTTTCAACTCGCTCTGCTACCCCCAAAAGAGAAAATGGAACCCTGGCTGGACACGCCTGGGAGGTTAAGGCAGGAGGACTTTTATGTTTGAGGTCAGCCTAATATGGTGAGATCTGTCAACAAAACAAGAAAGAAAATGAGTAAATGCTATGTGTAGCACAGGCCTGCTCTAGTTAGAGAAACCTAACATTTCTGCTGAGTAGCAGCAGACACTGCTTAGACTCTGCCTAGCCCAAAGGAAGGGTATCAGGCAAAGGTATAAAAGTGCCTTGTGTGGTGGTGCATGCATGGTCCCAGCACTCAGCAGGCAGAGCTCTGTGAGTTCAAGGTCAGCTTGAGCTACAGGAAGATCCCAGCCTTTAGAAACCAAATAACAAAGAAAAGAAGACTGAAATGGGGCTCTAAGGAGTAAACAGCGAAGCAGAGGAGACATGCACTGCGTGGAGCATGTGCATGCATGAGAGGAAGCTGAGGAACACTAGGAAATCTACCGTATCCCTGCACATGGCCTCAAGTGGGAGGGGCCACATTGACCTGAACACAGCGGCCATGTCTCCTGAGCTCAGACAGGGATGAGGGTATGAAGAAACAAGAACAGACAAAGACTGAGTGTCATGACTACAACTGCAGAGAACAGACTGAGGGCTGGAGTATGGGAGCAGCAGGCCCAGGTGGAAGATAGCTGCCATCATGTGCATGAACAATGTTGGGGGCTGGGAGAGGGCTATAGAGGCAAAAATGAAGATGGGGTTGAATTCCATGTGAAGTGCCGCAGCTTAAAGATACAGGTGTATCTGTGCACAACCAATAAGAAAACACTTTAGGAATGCTGGGTCACCAAAGCTAGGCCTAAGGATAGGCACTGTGGAGATGACACAGGAGCTGCACAACTAGAGATGAAAAAGTAGGAAGCATGGTGTCTTGGGAGAAGGTGATGACACATCTCATGGAGGGAGTGACAGCAAAATTGAGGGCTTACCAAGGTCACCTCTAAGGCCAGACTAACAGGACAGTGGGAAGTAAGGAAAGATTCTTTCATTATGAAAATTCTTTATTGTTTTTGCTATCTGACAACTTCATTCATATAGATTGTATTTTGATTCTTCTCTCTGATGTCCTCTCAGCTCCTCTCCAATGCCTATTACTGTGAGACTTAGCTTTAAAAAAGCACACAAAAGTGTAACTCTAAGACCCCGACCCTGCAAGGCAAACAGCAGCCCAAGAAAGCACAGACAGCCCTATCCGTCAAGCAAATCGGCCCTGGATGGTGGTTCTGTGCTACACAAAACTGAATTGTGTGGGAGACCAGCCTTGGGGCTTACCGGAGCCAGATGTGCCCATTGGAACAAACAGCTTGCTTTCGATCTGTGAATGGTAAGATCTCCTTACACAGACTGCAGCGCTCAGGGAAGGTCTGCTTGTTCATCTTCTTAGAGATATGTCCAATCAAGACCTGGTAAGACATCACAGGTGGCAGAGTGAGGAGCGAATACGGGTTTCTGGGAGCAAAGGCTACTGAATACGGGATTGTGCCAAGACAGTAGAAGTGTACTTCTACAGTTAAGCTGCTGTCCAAAGAGTTCAAAACCTGCACCCTCAACTATATCAACAGCAAAGAAAAGTAAATGGATACAGTGACCCTAACCTGTGCTGTGGACTCTAAGCTCTTCTTTCTTGCTTTGTTTTAGTAGTTATCGTTTTTACTTAGGGTGCTTTCAGAAGGAAATCCAAAATTTCCCTATGTGAAAAATGTGAAGTCTGTAAAAATATATAAATGTTTTGTCTTTAAAAACCATTTAAGATTGTGTGTGTGTGTGTGTGTGTGTGATTTGTGTGCAGGTGCCCACAGAGGAGCCCTTGTACCTGGAACGACAGTGGCTGAGAACCACCAAATGGACGCTGGAATACCCTGGGTCCTCTAGAAGAGCAGTAGGTGTTTTTAACTGCAGACCCTTCCCTCCAGTCCACAGTGCTTAGTCTTTTGTCATAGAGTTAAAATTACTTCCCCTTCTAAGGACTCTAGTAGCACCTACACCTGAGATAACCCCAAGTGACCCAGCATGGGAGAAGTAGGTGCTTTTCTTGGCCTTACTAAAGAGTGCTGTGTGTGTGGGGTGGGGGATGAGGTCCTGGGACTGAATGTGGGGCCTTGCAAGCACTAGGCAAGCGCTACCACTGAACTCCATATCTGTCTCTTTCGATTTTTAATTCTATGACAGGGTGGCAGTAAGCTGTCCAGACAGTCTTGAACTTGCTATACTTATTCCTATCTCAGCCTCTGGAATAGCTGGATTAGATTACAGTCCTGAGCTTCCAGACCTGGTTTAAGATTCCATTCTTTAAAGACAAATGTCTGAAAAACATGTCTATTTTATTATTTGCTGAACACCCCACCACCACACACACACACACACACACACACACACACACCCCACACACTGCCTTACAGGCATTGGGTATATATACCAATCCTTAAGCTACTTCTTTTACTAATAACTCATGTCCTTTCCAAGTTTGAGTGTATTTATGCTTCACCTCTTCTGGTAGTTTAAAGGATTTAGTAATTGGGTTAATTAACTCACCCAAATCTCAGAGGGCATCTCAATCGCTAATTTGAGCTAGTTGTTTCAATTCTTCAGTATATAATTTACAAACTTTTGTGGGCTTTCTTTTTTCTGGAGAGGGTCTCACTACATAGCCCTGGCTGTCTTGGAACTCACTGTGTAGACTGGGCTGACCTCAAACTCAGAGATCTTCCTGCCTCTGCCTTCTACGTACTGGGATTGGAGGTATGCACAACCATATCCAGCTTAATTCAAAAATTTAAATTACTTCTTGGTCTAAATATTTTTGGCCTTCAGAATTCTCATTTATATTACTTCACATCAAGGACAAACACCTCTTATCCAGATAAGCCTAGCACCCCAAGCAGTAAAGCCGGCCCAGTGTTCTCAAGAAGAACAGAGTTGGGCCGGGTGGTGGTGGTGCACGCCTTTAATCCCAGCACTTGGGAGGCAGAGGCAGGCGGATTTCTGAGTTCGAGAGTTCGAGGCCAGCCTGGTCTACAGAGTGAGTTCCAGGACAGCCAGGACTACACAGAGAAACCCTGTCTTGAAAAACCAAAAAAAAAAAAAAAAAAAAAAAAAGAACAGAGTTGGGCCTAAGTTCTACACGAGGAAGAGCTGTTTCTATTTATTCTTTGTGGCCTTAATCATAAAAGTCAACTTATGAGGCAAAAACAAATATACAACAGGCCTGTGATGCTAACTATTAAGAAGCCATACAAGAACTAGAAGGGAAAGTGGGGCAGTGGGGCAGGTTGAGAGATGCGCATCACGTGTCCAATAGTCACAGAACATCCACAACAGCGGTAAAATCAACACCATAGGCTGAAAGGTCTGTGTATGCAGCATAACTAGAGTCTTAGGACACAAAAGTCATTCTTTTAATTAGAACTGAGGTGCTATGAGAAAGTAGGGTACAGTCTTTCCATTGTTTTTATACTGCCTTAGCCAGTATAACTAGAGTCTTAGGACACAAAAGTCATTCTTTTAATTAGAACTGAGGTGCTATGAGAAAGTAGGGTACAGTCTTTCCATTGTTTTTATACTGCCTTAGCCAGAACCACACAGCCATGTTAGACATGGTCTGTAAGCACAGAACATCCTAAACAAGAATCCTCAAGGTAAGGATGAACAATACTACCTTCCCTAAATGCTTCTGCTAGTATGTCACAAAGTATTTATAATAATTCTAATCAATCTCATGTCAGTGAAAGACAATATTCTTCCAGACAATTTAAGATGCAGGAAACAAGGTTTAAACATTTACTTTAAAAAAAAAAAAAAAGTCACATACATGACCAGTACCTCTGACTGTGTTTAAGATCACTGCAATTGTCCTGTGGGCAGCAGTTTCAGGGGCAGAGAAACGCACTGTGAGTAACTTGGCAGGGACAAAACTATCTGGACTTCTCGTTTCAACAAGCCTTTAGGCATCGAGCGCCAATCTCCAGAGAGAAAGGAACCTTTCATTTAGCCAGTTCCTTGGTAAGGAGCTCTTTAGGATTCAGCTGTTCTAATGCTGTTCTTCTGACCAAGTCTGGGAGGCTAGGTAATAGTTGCTTTCTGCAAGAGTCTTCAACACCCACAGGATGGTAGCCTGTGCCAGGCACCTTACTGAGGAGCACATCCTACCATATTCCTTATGCTTGTAGCCCTCCTGGCCTCTGGGAGAATCATGCCATTTGCGGAATACACTGCAGACAAGAGTTTTATATTGTCCCAGTACCAAAACAACATGACAGCCCAGTTTAAAAAAAATAAACTGGACTTAACAATTATTTTCTTTACAATATCCAACCTCAAGCCTTTCAAATAGAAAACATACACCACAACAAACCTCTGTAAACATGATGGGAGAGACAGTAAAGGGGGGAGCAGGGGGACATCTCCACTGCTGTGACTATCTAGCACACACCATTTGCCACTGAAAATGTCATCTGGCAACCCCTGCAGATCACTCAAAGGCACACGAATGGAAGTATGTGTCCTCAGAATCAGTCCATACTTCCCATCTACTCCCTTGTACCACATACCAATCAGTTACCTTAAATAATTCCAATGCAAAAGCCAACCCAAGACCCTTCTACCTAGTGAGACGAGCAGACGGGTCAACTGTGATAGACGCCTACCTGAGCTGTTCTGTCATCATAGTCCTCGTCAGACATCAGAAAGTTACAGAGCCCTCTGGTGGGTATGCTGGTATTCTCCGTGATCCAGGTGTGCAAGTACACTTCTCCAAGGACCCGCTTCATGTGCTCCCTGGTCAGGTGCATCTCCACAGCCTCAATCTTCCCTTGGATCTCAAGGAGTTTTTCCTCAATGGGTTCACGGCCTCCGGTGTCTCCCACAGCAGTGACCGAGTCGTCAGGGGTCTCCTCCGTGTCACCCTCTTTGCCCTTCTCCTGCGGGACAGCCTTAGCTCCCTGCTTGGACGTCCCCTCTTCTTGCTGCTCGTCTTCACCATCGCCCATCCCAGGTGAGTCAACCAGTAAGATTTTCGAGTCCTCATGGGTAGGCTTCCACAAGGCCTCGGAAGGGGATTTCTGCATTGACTGATACAGAATCCTTAGGAGGAAAAGCTTAAAACGCCAAAAATAGGTAACCCCACTGCTTTCAATCTTTTTTTCCAAAGCTTCATGTAAAAACTGAGGAATATGTTTATCTTTTAGAATTTTCCAGCGGACTAAGTCGATCAAGTCCACCTGCTTAAAGAGATTCTGAACTGAAGACTCCAAGAGCTGAGCAGCCGCCTCTTCAAAGGTCTTTAGAGTAACAAACTGGACCTGGTAGTTCTTGTTCACAGGATGGAGGCCATTGATCATGCCCTCAGTGGTGATGATGGCCAGGTAAGCACCACAGGGACTCACTGCAATGCCGTGAGTTCTCACTGAGCCAAATACATCTGAGAGCTTAATCAGCTGGTGTTCAAACTTTAATGCAACATCTGTGAAAATGGGAATCAACTGCCTCACCTTCCCGTCACTGGAGCAGGTGTACACTGTTCCATTCTGCTTGTCTGCAGTGATGGAGACGATGGGCAGTGAGTGAAGGCCTGTGACGTGGGAGTTGTGAACATTCAGACCCGCCTTGGAGATCAGAAGAAGACACCAGAACACATAGGAGCCTCTCGCAGCTACCACTAAGCTACAGCTACACTTCTGGTAAGGGTGATAAAGCGGCACACATTTGATGCTGTGCACAGGCAACTTGTCCATTTCTTTCCACAAGACAACAGGCTGCCTTAAAGTAAAGTAGCCTTTGACTGCTTTGAGATTGACAGGGAGAATTTTTACAGGTCCAAAAGCACTGCCCACAATAAGGCCACTCATTTTCCTATTATTGTGCTCATATTCCCACCAAAACAAAACACTGGGGGAGCTGATTCCTGATTCAATAGTGTTGCATGAAGAGATGGACTCCTTTCCCACGAACGGCAGCTGGAACTGCCACACAGCTATATTCCCGTTCTCAAAGAGCACGGCCAGCAGCACACTGCTCACATCCCGGCACTCATTGTTGTGCTTGACCTGCTGAGTGGTACAGATACTTGACCATTCCATTCTGACTGGGGTCTGCATGCTGTGTCTCCTCTGAAACTCAGCAAAATCCCCGAGATTTCCCTCAGGAGCCTCATTTTTAGACAGTCTATAACTGGTCTCATAAAGACGGTCTCCATAAATCTCAGTCAGATCAACCAGCTGGACCCACTGGAGTCTATTGAGGTTCACCTGCACAGTCAGACGATTGTCCATGGTCAGTGCTGCCAAGAGGCACCTGCCATTTGCATCACAACCCATGGGAGACCAACTAGTGTATTTGAAACCCCGCATTGGGGGCAACGCCTTCCCCTCGGGGTTGAACATCCTGTCTAGCATGAAAGTCTGGCTGATGGTGGGGTCTTTAGAGGAAGCAAACTTTTCCTTGCACTCAGCAACTTCTGTTTTTGAGCCAACCTGAAAATAAGAAATAGATAATCTATCAGATAAATATCCATCCATAGTAACTGCATTAAAACACAAAATAATTTTATATCACACACACTATATTACTACATATTATACTAATTCTGCTAATTTTGGCATTATGTGGATTTAAAAGATCAAACAGCCAGGTGTGGTGATGCATACCTGTTAATCCAAGCACACTGGAAGCTAAAGCAGGAAGATTATATGTTTAACCAGCCGAAGCTAGGTAGAACAACTATCTCCAAACAAAACAAAAAATAATGATTAAAAAAATGAAGCATGCTTAAAGATGAAGTGTTTACGTACTCAAAGAAATGGCTTTTAAAAATGACTTACAATAAATGTGACTATGCATGGCTTGTCTGTATTCTTTTCAGAACTGACTCATGGAATAGACATCTGATCCACAAGAGTGAGGGAAACATTTAGCTGAACCAGTCACAAAACAGCAGTAGTTTTAAATGCTAGGAAAAGATGTACCTATATTCATTTTTGCTACAATTAGATATTTGGATTTTTATAATAGTTCTGTGACACATGCTGAAGATAAATCAAAGGCCTTGTGTACATTTCCAGCCCAACCCCAGTCTTTTTATTTATTTTTAACATATCATGCCCCCTCACCTTGCTGAGGTAAGGGCTCTCCTGTTTCTGCTGTACTTGTGGACTCCAGGTTAGCTAGCTGGTCAGCTTCCTCATGATTCTTCCATCTCTGCCTTCCATCTTACTATAGGAACGTAGGGATGAAGATGCAAGCCATCACATTGGGCTTTTCGTTTTTCATGTGTGTTCCAGAGATTGAACCAAAGTCATCAAGTCTGTGCTAAATCTTACAGAACAACTCTGGAACTTTTAATTTGCAGTTTCTTTAACAAATCACACATGTTGCCTTGTCTACTACTCTTGCTATAAGGAAGCTGGCTCCTATCAGACTCTCTATTCCACCCACTGCTTTTCCTGCCTGACCTGCTCTTTCCCATCTATCTTACCAGGTCTAATCTTAGGAGGCCTTCTCAGATCATTCTAGCTTTGTTTCATCACCCCCTTGTCTGGGTCTGTAACACGTATCGTGTGCTCAGCCAAATGATGAAAGCTCTGGAAAAAAATTTTAAAGAGACAGTAAAGACAGAGAAGTTATGACTAAAATTAAAGCCAGGAAGGCTAAAGCCAAAAAAGAACATAGGCTGATCTAAAGATATTCCCATCACACACTGAAAGTAGGAAGAACTCCATCTCTTGTTTTTAGAGAGATGGATAAAAAGGCATGGTGGTCAGCACAGCTGTAATCACAGAGCTAGGTGCATCATCCCAGCAAGTTCCAGGACAGCTGGGGATCGGTGGCCAGACTTTTATCTCAAATAGTTAAAGAAAACAAAGGAAAAAAGTGAAAAAGTAGGAGTTTCCATTTTGATTTTAGTGTCAAGCTTTTTAAAGAAACTTGATTTTAGAAAGAGTAAGACATGATTAAAAGAGAGTCCAAATCCTTTTAGTATACGGAGGTATTAGAAGTGATTTGATGTTACGTTTCCAAGCACTGAAGTAATGTTCTAGGACACAGGCAAAACTTGGAAAATCATCACCAAGAACGAGTACCTACATCCTAGGAAAGTGTGAACCAGCATAGATGCCAATTTTAAAAGATCTTTAAGTGCATACAAGCTATTAAGCCTACTCAAAAACAGAATTCCTCAATGTATTAATGGTGAACACTATGTGAGATAGCAATGCAGCAGGGGAGATGGCTCAGCCAGTAAAGAGTTTGCCCTACAAACACAGGGACAGAATTCATTTTCCTCATGTTAAGAGGCTGGGTACAGCACATGCTTGTAACCTACCTCAGTGAGATGGAGGTGGCAGGTTCCTAGAGCACAAGCCAACCTTCCCTAAAAGCCACTACACAACAGTATCCTAAAGAGCTCCGAGAAATGATTCCCATGGACAGGTAAGTTCTGAAATGCTTACTATCATCCACTGTTCCTCCTACAAGTATCCAAGATAGCAGCTTACATATAACTCATAATGTTTGAGCTATGACTTAACAGAATCATAGAGCAACAGGTTCAAAACCGGTTCAGTGTTTAGTGCTTTAGCTGTTTTACATATTAAAATCTTATTCTAGGTTACAAATTATCTGTTATTGAGTTGACACAATAGCTAGCTGGACAACATTGAACAGATTTAAATCTTTAGGGATGATTAATATGTAGGGCACTGAAGAGCTGGTGATTTCTTTATATTTATACCATTGCAACAATGGAGGCCTCTCATGTAAACTCTTTATCAAGTAGAGGGCTACATAAAGATTTTCTTCTGCTATTTAAACAGTGAGGCAAATGTCAAATGTAGCAAAATGTCAGTCAATTTATCAGAGTCTTAGTACCACCTTCAGATCCACACTTACAACATTCACCTAGAGTTTTCCTTCATGCCTGGAGAGCAGGAAGGAAAGGCAGAGCAGGAAGGCACTAGCATGTACCCAGTGTCAGACATTAAGTGATAATGCTAAGTGCTAGGTGATATTTTATGTATTAAACTTAATTTACCATAAAGCCCAGACAAGGCAGGCTTTACAATTTTTGTTTTATAGCTAGGTCTATCTTGTGCCAATGCCCAGTTTCTTAACCCCACACCCGACCTCCATTATCCTCAGCCCAGCAATCATCTGCTTACCTCTAGCCCAAGCAGTCTCAGACTCCTAAGTTATACCACATCATTCTGTCCTCATGAACTGAAACAGCACTCAAGCAACTTCCTGGACTCACCTTCCTAGTCCCTAAACTGGTGCCATTTTCTCTGACTCTAGAAGAAACTTTCAGCTCCAGGCGAGCCATCAATACTCAAGCAACAGTCACATACAGTTCCACTCATGATTCAAGATCTATGTGCATGAGTGGGATGCCTCTCTTGTCACCTTGAGTGGCCTTTCTGAGCTTCCTGATAAACCAAACACTACCATTTCTTAGGACTGCAAAAGACTCAGTGACCTTCCCTCATGTAAGCACCTCCACTTTCTTTTCTTTCTTTTTTGTTTGTTTGTTTTTCAAGACAGGGTTTCTCTGTGTAGCCCTGGCTGTCCTGGAACTCACTCTGTAGACCAGAAATCCGCCTGTCTCTGCCTCCCAAGTGCTGGGATTAAAGGCGTGCGCCACCACCACCCAGTGTGCCTCCACTTTCAATTCCTTTCACGACACTCTCTGTTAAACAGTTTTTACCATCTAGGCCCAGATTTTCTTGAGCTGGTGGGCACTGAAATATCCATTGAAACAGTAAGTTCAGCAGAGGGTGCAGCTGTTCAGAGACCTTTCTTCTGCCTTCCTCCTATGTGTATCACTTAAACAGCTCTACCAGTGTACATTTGAATCATTTCATTTAGATCTTCTTTAAGATCTTACATGACTCAGTCAGTCAAGCTGACTAGTTAAATCTATAAGCCTGTAAATCCAGGCAAGACAATCAAGATCAAGATGTTATTTAAAAAAAAAAAAAAAGAAAAAGAAAGAAAAGAAAATGGCTGGTACCCGTGACTAATCTCCTGGATTTGGAATGGCCGTCTAGAAGAGTATAGAAATACTTTACTTTCAAATAAGCATACTGCTATATGTGTATATAGCTTTACAGCTCTCCTTGCTATTAAGACTACACTATTTGTTCATGATCTGCCAAAGGATGTAAGTCCCTTGAGGGCAGGGGCTGTCTTTACTCTGATTTATCCCAGAACCTTGGTGAACACCTACTCACTTGACACACACACACACTTTGACAGATTACATACCGTATATACATACAGAAGTATAAATAAAAGTAAGCTTTTACATTTCTAGGCTATGAAAAGAAACATCGCTCAGTAAAGTAAACCATGTTTAAAAATGGTTACATTAATACAACAAACTTTAGAAACCCTAAAGTTCGAGAGCAAACTTGGGTTGTATGAAATTGAAGGCACTAAATTTACAGAGTTACAGAGACCTTGGACTTGGAAATCTAAGCACTGGATGCTCTCCGAGTTTTTATTTTTCATCCCACTTCCAAAGATTTAAGAGCTGTCTACCCAAGGAGACACAAGGACTGGTCGCAATGAAACCGTCAAACAAGTAAGACAACTAAATAGACCAGTTTTTCTTCGCAAAGCAAAAGTGGCGGGAGAGAAGGGAGCTTGCAGTACAGTATAAAAAAAACAAAGCCAGCCCAGGGCCTCGAGGAGTTGGCCCCAGACAATAGGAGCAACGGTAGAGACAGGTCAGGGGTTGGGTCAACTGGAGGTGGAGTCACAAGAGTCCCAGAAAAAGCCGGGGAAACGGTGCTGGCTGTTCCACCAGGAAAAGAAGGAAAGGATAGCGGATCCTGGCTCGGGGCGCGCGGGCGGGGGGGTGTCTAGTAACAGCGCAAAAGCTTGCAAGGCTTTTTAAAAGCTGCGGCGATACTAGTCCCTTCATTCTTAAGAGTTGGATGCGCAGGGAATCCTAGAGCCAGGTGCAGGCCAGGCATCCCCTGGGATCCGTGGCGCGTCCGCAGGAGAACCGGTGGAGGTGACTTACCTTGAGAAGGCAGCTGTTAAGAGGTGCGGGTACCGAGGTGCGGTGGATCACCAAGTCCTGGCCTGGGTTGTGCACATCGCAAATAAGCTCCAGCACGGCGATGCTGCGGGCCGTGGACACAGACACGCGGTGGTCCTCAGACCAGGATAGCGGCTCCAACCCGCTCACCGCGTACTGCAGCTTCACGGCAGGCTCCCGCCGAGTCACCATGAGGCGGAACGAGGCGCTGGGCCCCGGGGCCGCGTCGGCAGCCGCCTCCTTCCCGCCCCCTTCGTCCTTCTCCTCTGCGTGTGGCGAGGGCTCGTCGGCCTTGGGCCCCACCCGGGCCTGGTCCGCCTCGCTCATCTTACTCGGGGCGGGGAGGTGGGGTTACCAGGCACACCGAGCGCTCGCCGCCGTCGCCCGGCCGCTCCCAGCGCCCTCCTCGGCCGTTCGCTCCCCGCAGGCCCCAAGCGCCACCGAGCCAGAAAGGACCCCGTCGTTGCTAGGCAACGCCACCCTGCTAGCTGGCCGCGGAGCTGCCTGTCTGGAAAGTGCGCTCCGGGAGGGCTGACCCGCAGCGCGCCTGCGGACAAGCGGAGAAGGTGGAAGGTTCAGAGTCCCTTTCCTAGACACTGGGAGCTAGGCCCGACAACGAGTCCACGGGAGAGTGAGCCTCTGTGGGTGACTGAAATGCTAAGAAGACCAGCGTGGTGGCTGAGGGAGACCCCGCTGGGTGGGCGGCACGCAGCCTCTTCCGGTTTCTGAGGCGTTCGGGGCCTCTTGTCTCCGGCCGTGGTGTGCGGCCGTGGCTCCCGGACCCGGAAGGGGCGGCCGCGGACCCGCAACAGCTGAAGAAGCTCACTCTCCACGTGCTGCTCGGGCTCCCTGCTCTGTCCGCGGCTCTGCGCTTGGGCTTTGGCTACCGCTTGCAGCTCTCTCCCCGACCAGCCTCCCAGGACGTGCTTTGGACGCACCCAGGCCCAGATGAAGCGGGTGAGTACAACCCCAGCCCGGAAGCCGCCGCACTGATCAGGTTGGATTGGGTTTTTCAAGATGTCTGGAGGAGCCGGCGGGCGGCTCTCGGAAACACGTGGATGAGCGGGGACCCGCCTTGGGGGCAAGAGACGGGCGAACTCCTGAGACTACCTGAGAACTTAGGTTAGGATTGGAGGCTGTAGTAACTAGTCAAGTTCCTGAGACTAGCTGAGGGACTAGTCAACATAAAGATTGGAGACTGAGACTTGAGGTCCGGCAGGTCTTAACTGTTGGGAGTCAGGGTCTTCTGCTGTCAGGAAGGGTCAGTTCTTTTAGGAATGGAGACTGGACTCTTTTCTTTAAAGAGCTTTTAAACTGGAGGTTTTCATCCACGTATCAGGAAAGTCATTATACATGCATACAGTCATTATAATCCGTTCCCTAGAGAGGAGAAAAGTGACTCCCACAGCAAAAAGATGGCTTTAGGGTTGCTGGTTTATCATTTTGAAAGTCTGGGAAGATGTGATAGGAGGCTTCACCCCCTCACCCAAAAGATATAATGTAATGCCAGTGACATTGAAATGCAAAGTGCCAGCCAGTTTCAGGTCAACCAAAGTTTTTAAAACTCCTTTGACTAACACCCACTGCCTAGTTTCACCTTGGTTAGAAGGAAGGAGGGACCTTATTAAGCTTAGGTGATAAGGAGTAAGGATTCTTCAACAAGCCATTGGTATAGTTGAATTTATGTGGGAGGAGAAATACAGACTGTATCCTCCTCAGGATAGAGGAGGAGGGGCATAGGATTTACAGTAGGGTAGACCTGGTCTATTATAGGTGTCAGCTTTGTAGCACAGTAGCCTATGACTTTGGGGGAGTTAGTCTCGCCTGTCCATAAATAGGAACACTAATTTGTTTCTTAGAAGATTGTTATGAGGCTCCAATAGGATAATACCTGCAATAACTGCATTTTGTCTGGTCCTTAGAGGCAGTTGCTCAGTGCCAGTAATAGAAATAAAAGCAATTTTGTTTCCATTTGAGGAAGTAGATGGCTGCCTTAGGTCAGCAGCATTGGATCAGGGTGTCGCTTGTGTCATATGCCCAGTCCTGTGGAAGGAACATGTACCTTGCTCACCTAGTTAATGCAAGACTTTTGAGTTCTATCCTCAACTATACACACACACAAAAGAAGAAGGAGGAGGAGGAGGGGAAGGGGGAGGAGGGGGAGGGGGAGAAAAATCTAAATTTTATTGAGTGAACAGATTATCTGGATTTATGGTTACTTCAGCTGCTGTTTCAGAAGTGATTAACAGATAATGCAGGCTGGGTGTGGTGGCACATGCCTTTAATCCCAGCACTAAGGAGGTAGAGGCCATTACATCTCTGAGTTTGAGACCATAATGAGTTCCAGGACAACTAAGGCCATATAGTGAGGACTTCTCTCAAAAAGAAGAAGATGAGGAGGAAGAGGAGGAGGAGACAGAAAGAAGGGGGGGGAGGCCTCTTAGTGGGTGAAGGTGCTTGTTGCTGAGCCTGGTGTCCTGAGTTTAATCCCTAGGATTCATGTAAAGGGGGAAGGAGAGAACTCAGTTGTCAGATGACCTCTGCAAGCTGGCCATGACATATGTGCTCACACAAACAATTAATGATAATGCAGGACCCATCGAGGCCTTGCTGCCTGTGCTGTGGCGTATATATCCAAGGGGGAGAGGAAGATGTGCTGAGCAGATATGCTGAGGAGGATGCTCAGGGCGGATAGCTAATACACTAGATTCGGAAGACCCTTCACAGCTTGAATTGCATTGCTTTGTCTTAATTCTATTGCAAGAATATTTTTTTTTCTTTTTCTTTTTTTCTTTTTTTGTTTTTTTTTGGGTTTTTTTTTGTTTTGTTTTGTTTTTTCGAGACAGGGTTTCTCTGAGTAGCCCTGGCTGTCCTGGAACTCACTCTGTAGACCAGGCTAGCCTCGAACTCTCAAACTCAGAAATCCGCCTGCCTCTGCCTCCCAAGTGCTGGGATTAAAGGCGTGTGCCACCACCGCCCTGCCGAATATTTTTTTTCTAATAATATTTTTAAGGATGTTTTCTGATTATTAAAGTAATGCAGTTTCATTTAAGAAAAATTAAAAGATACAACCCCACCTGTAGTTGCCATTCCCAGAAATAACATTCAGCATTTTGATGTATAGCCTTCAAAGGAACATAACTATGATATTTTCTAGCCAAATAGGATATAGTTAGTCAGGCATCTTGGCATTATCTTCATGGAGGAGCATAGTACATTCTGGGAATTTAAGAAAGACTTGCAAAGGGTAAAGATGAACTTGAAGCTGAGGCAATGGATAGAGGTTGTATTCTGGAGGCTTCCTAGATTTCCCTAACAGCAGTGGGGAACCTGCTTCAATTCAGAACTTGTTTTGTTTGTGACATGGTCTTACTCTAGCCTGGTGGCCTGGAACTCAGTTTGTTGCCCAGGCTGACCTAAAACTCAGCAGTTCTCCTGCCTTAGGCTCGTGAGTGCTGGGCTTGCATGTGTGACCTATCATACTAGCTTCTGAGTGCCCATTTTTCGAGAGACCTTGACTTACCTGTAACGGGTCAGTAGGATGCGGAGGTGTCTCAGTCTGTGTGCTACCTGGTATGCTTAGTCCAAAAAGGGAAAAGGGAAGGTGTATAAAGAAGACTCTCCACTTGCTCTGTTGCTGCAGCACCATTCATCATGATGGTACCTTGATGCTCAAGGAGGCAGGTCTAGTCTTGATTGGTTGAAAAGCTTCCTGAACGCGAGTTGGCCTGGAGCAGAATAGGTTGCATCCTGAGTGGAGGAGGTCTGTGGGTAGAGACTGCTGGGTCAGCTCAGGAAACCTGTGGTAGGGTGACCTTCAGGCCTTTTGTAACTGTCAGGTGAGGCTTGCAAATCTTGTGCTTTTTGACAAAAGGTCCAGCAGACCTGAAAACTGACTTCATTTTCCTTTAACTGGAAAATTCATAAACTTGGAACTTTGTAACAACAAATTTTAAGATGAAGTAGGATTACTTTACTAGTACTCAATATTTCAAATTGTGTTCATTGAATTCTTTAAAGGAATTCTTATGATTGCCAGGAAAAGAGACTTATCCTTTTCATTGGCAGGTTGGCCTGAAACTGACGGTCTTTGTGAAACAAGTCATTGTATAAGCACAAGTCACTGTTTCAAGTAAAGAGGAAGACAATGTATTCTAAAACTCAAGACATTGGTTTCTCATGTCCTTGTGCAGACTGGAAGAAAAGGCTAAAGAAAATACGAGATGTTTTTTCTAGGGTCATAGTTCTCAACCTTCCTAATACTGCAACCCTTTAATACAGTCCCTCATGTTGTGGTAACTCTATTCATTGCTACTTCATAACTGTAATTTTGCTCCAGTTATGAATCATAATGTAAATATATGATATGCGACCCCTGTGAAAGGGCTGTTTGAACCCCAGAGGAATCAAGAACTGCTGTTGAGAGTGGCTGTTCTAGAAGTTTGGGCACCATGCATTCAATCACATTCGAGTTGTGAGAATAAGCAACAGGCGAGAAGCGCCTGATGGTGTGTGTCTGTGATCAGCAATCGGGCAGGAACTCTCAAAGCAAGGAGGGTTGGAAACAATACCATAGACGTGATGGATGGAGCGACACTCATTTGGAGTGGGGACGCCAAGTAGGAACTGACTCCAGACCATCTGAATCCGAGCAGCTTGAGGGGAAAGGAGACAGATCCAAGCCCTAGGGAAGAACAGTAATGACAGTTTCCGCTTCCTGGGCACGAGCTGAGATTTGAATCCTATTTGCCTCTCCAATCTCTGCTTTGTTGGTAAAACAACAACAACAACAACAACAAAAACCAAACAGATTTTCCCTGTGTGTCTCTGTTCTCAGAGAAAATGGACTCCTAGGGGTGTAGTTTGACTTAATAAGCATGTGCTTCACAAGGTAGAGTCTTGCTTCTCTTAGAATGGACTGAATTGGTTAATGTCAGCTGGCAGGACACTTCTCTCTTCCTGATCCTCTCTCTCACCTTGGGCAACTTAACAGTTCAGATGGACAGAGGCCTGCTAGATGAACGGATTGAGATTGTGTGTCTCCTCCCATCTCCCATTTCAGATGAAGCCAAAGAATCTGGTTGTAAACCCTAAACTGATGGTTGGCATATGGGGCATAATGATCTCTGCAGGAAGAGCTACATTCTGTGGGCAGTCAGGCTTCACTCTGAGGATTGTCTTCATGGACTAATGCACCTCTTCTTGATCTTTCCTTCTGGGAACAACACAGCAAGCAGAGGCTACCAAGAGAAAGCACCAAGTGTCCAGTGATGCTCCACCAGCAAAACGGAGGAAGGAGACATCCTTTCTCTCAGCCAAGAAAGCCAGAGATAAAGAAACTCAGGGGACATTTAAAGGGAGCACACACAGGACGTTTCCTCCAAAGAAGTGTTTGGACAGTACAGGCAGTGGAAGGCAAGAGGAGCAGCCACGCGTCAAGA